CACAGACATGTGGTATGCCACTATCTGGAGACCCATGGGCCCTAGGCAAAAAGAAGACCTTCTCTGAAGCACATTGACTCATGTTACGATGGCATAAATCATGTGATAGTCTAACAGGGAAAGCAAGCACAGTGTTTGTCATAAGAACACCACTTGTCAATGTGAAAAACATGGCAGTGCCTTATATGTGAGGTGTTTTGTTGAATACACTGAATAGGTTTCACCACCTCTTGAGATAAGAAACATAATTTTATACATTATGTATGATGTAGCAAACAGTTTGCCTAGTGTTTCATTTTTGGAACACAACACAAATCAACAATAGAATAAAATAAAATTTTATTCTCTTCAAATTCTTGTTCCTTGAATTTTCCTAGGTGATATATGTGAATTTCATGCACACAATTCAAAAATTTAAAACTCTGGCTTAAATGTGTTAAATTAATAAGAAATTGTCAAAGCTTTCTTAATCTTTTAAGTAATTGGAATAGGAAACAATGACTTAGTGTTTTATCAAGATAATTTCTTGTACTTGACATTGTCTTTATCAGGATTTTCATAAAATAAGGCTTTTGTACAACTATGTGACTTTCATATTTGCCTTTCAAGTGTTCAAATTACTATTCTAGTTAAATGAATAAGTAACCTATGATCCTATTTTACTCAGTATTTTAAACTTTTTGACATTTTTAACAATTTTTTGGAATAAAATTTAAAACTTAGATGTTTTCACTTTAAAATAACTTAGGTAGTTTTCAGATGGGACCCTAAAATGTATTAAAATAATTTCTTCTCTCTCTTTGTAAAAATAGAGATATTAAACCAACTGGGCTTATCTGATATATTAAACTGCATTGATTGCTTTGTCAAATATAAAGGGTGTTGATTCTTCCTTAAGTCTTATTGCATGTGGTTGTCCTTCAAAAATTATGTGCTTCAAAAATTACATACAATTCCTAGAAATCTGATTTTCCTGCTATAATGCTATCATCATTCTAGTTATTATCTTAAAATATTTACATCACAGAAATAATAAAACTACCCAGTCAATTATGTTACACTGAACTATCATCAGATCTTTAACTACAGCCACTTTAAGTCTTGTCATTCATAAATGTTTACCTGTTACTCTGGTACTTTTTCTGAAAACCATTATAAGCAATGATAAACCTAAAACATTTAGTCTTTGAAGAGATTTATAGAAAGGATTCTGAAAAGTATCACTTTCTGAAAAATTCAAGATCACACCATTTGGCTGGGTAAGAATGTCTATAACTCCAGTGAATAACCTAATTGTTTCATAAAACTACAAAACCCACATCAAGAAAAACAAGAAGTAATTGAATACTGAGAAAATGTTTTGACCTATTGTCCTACAAAGTTAGCAGGTACTGAAATTTTTAAGGTATCAATTTTTAATGAACTTTGTTAGATTGCTCCAAGTCAAAATACTATAAATTCACTATATATTATACAGTGCTATGCACCTAAATTACATAAACAAAACATAATTAGAGGAACATAAATTCAGTGTTCTAATGGAGAATTAGGATGGTGACCTGATTTTTCCTGAATCCTCAAAGCTTTTATTTTTAAAAGATCTGCACTCTACAACTCATAAAGTAATAAATTCTATGATACAAAAAAAAAAGTGGGTGGGATGAATGTCTAAAATTCATAAATGATTTATATGTAACCAATGTTTTTTTCTTTGTCAAACCTTTAATTCTAGAAAGACTAAACTTCACATGGTATATTTCTGCCACCTGCTGGAACATTTGAACATTTATAGATGGATTTTATTTTCAACCCTCAATGAGATATTAATATGAATTTGCAATAGCATTGTTGGATAGAAGCTGTTCCACACAGAAAGGCCAAGGCTATAACAGTAGCTAAAAGGTTATTAGAAAATGTCTTTCCTTTATGGGACATCCCTGGAGAGATCTCCACTGACAAAATTATTCTTTTCACTGGACAAGTTATAAAACAGTTATATAAGGTATTACAAAAACAATGATATTACCCTTGTCTTTATCATCCTCAGTCATCTAGGAAAGTCAACAGGAAAAAATAGCATCTGAAAACTAAATTGACAAAACTAACTAAATTTGTTGGATTTCCAGAACCCAATGCTATTATCACTGGCTACAATGGCCATCACATCCACCCATACTCGAAACACTAATACATTATTAAATAGTTACTGGATGATCTCATGTATCTCCTGTTCTCACATACTTTACATGACTGACTATTGCAAAGTTTCATAGGATTTTGTCAAAGTATATTCTTATCAAGTAAAGGAAGCCATTCTTGAGTCACAAAATGTTAAGAAATAGACCTTTCAGTTTCTTGAACATTAAGAGTGGGTCTTCTGAAAACTATATGAAAAAAAAAAAAGACTTCTCTTAAGATTAACTTGGAAGTGATATGGGCTAATCTTACTGGAGTTAGGTGATATCTCAAAGTAGTTTTGATCTGCATTTCTCTGATGATTAAGGATGGTGAGCAATGTTTCATATATCTGTAGGCCATGCACCTATCTTCTTTAGAGGAATTTCTATTCAAGTCCCTTGCCCAGCCTGAGATGGGACAACTTCTTCTCTTCTTGCTAATACTTTTGAGTTCTCTATGGATTCTGGCTATTAAACCTTTGTCAGAGACATATCCTGCAAATATCTTCTCCCATTCTGAGGGCTATCTGCTTGCTTTATTTACTGTGTTCTTGGATGTGCAGAAGCTTTTTAGTTTGATCAGGTTTCAATAGTGTATTTTTGATGTTGCTTCAATTGCCCAGGGGGTCCTCCTCATAAAATTTTCACCCAGGCTGATTTCTTCAAGTGTTTTCCCTACACTTTCTTCTAATATTTTTATAGTTTCATGTCTTAAGTTTAAATCTTTAATCCCAAACCAGAGATGCTGGCATGGATGTGGAGAAAAGGGAACACTTCTACACTGCTAGTGGGAATGCAACCTCATACACTCCTTTTGGAAAGATATCTGGAGAACAGTAAAGAACTAAAAATAGACCTGCCATTTGATCCTGTAGCTCCTTTATTAGGTACATATCCAGAAGACCAAAAATCACATTACAATAAAGAGATTTGTATCAGAATGTTTATTGCAGCCCAATTCATAATTGCTAGGTCATGGGAAAAGCCCAAGTGCCCATTGATCCATGAATGGATCCATAAATTGTGGTATATGTGTACCATGGAATACTATGGGGTCATAAAGAAAGATGGACAATTTACCTCCTTCATGTTTACATGGATGGAGCTGGAAAATATTCTTCTTACCAAAGTATCTCAAGAATGGAAGACAAGAGGCAGGAGACTCACTTGAGCCCAGGAGTTGGAGGTTGCTGTGAGCTGTGATGCCATAGCACTCTACCCAGGGGGATAGCTTGAGGCTCTGTCTCCAGAAAAAAAAAAAAAGAATGGAAGAAAAAGTATCCAATGTACTCAGCCCTATTATGAAACTAATTTTTAGCTTTCATATGAAAGCTATAACCTAATTATAGCCTAAGGATATCTGGAAGGGGGAGAAGGATGGGAAGGGAGAGGGGTGATGGGTGGAGGGAGGGTGATTGAAGGGATCACCTCTATGATTTATCTCACAAGGGTACAAGTGAATCTTTCTAAAAGTAGAATATAAACATCTTAACACAATAACTAAGAAAATAACGTGAAGGCTAAGTTAACTAGTTTGATGAAAATATTTCAAATTGTATATGAAAACACCACACTATACCCCATGATTACATTAATGTACACAGCTATGATTTAATAAAAAAAAATTAACTTGGAAGTGAAGAGGCTAAGTTCTTTTCATGATCCACACTATAACAAAACTTCAGGCCTTGAGCCTTTGGTCCACATCTCTCAACACAAGAGGACCCATCCAGATTTGGGAAATGCACATCTGTAGGAAATCTCAAGTTAAAACTGATCATATAAGACTTCCTCCCAGAAGAAGACAATGTCCTAGACGTGAATAGCTTTTCCAGGATCACAGATCAAGACTTCTCTTCTTTGTCAACATGAACACTTTATCCTTTTTTCTCTTCTCCTATGCCATCTTTCCATACATGTGTGACAAGATAGTGTTATGATTTGTATTTTATAATCAATAGCTTCAGAAGGAAATCTGACTAAATACTGGACATGTTTTGTTAAACCCAAATCCTTAAATGGCTTTGGAGATCCTATAGTGTGCTCAGTAACAAAACTCACTGGTATTCCAAGTGCACCTGCCTGTTCATACTGCATATTATCATTTAACTAAGATTGGGCTTTCAGACACACATGTTCATATCACTTTTTAAAATCTAGCAGTAGGCAAAACCAGTTAGGCTAGGGTTGAGGATTTTTGCAGGTAGAATTACATTTTTAATTTTTTAATTGTTATGGGTACATAATTGTCATATATATTTATAGGGTACATGAGATGTTTTGATAAAAGACTACAATGTATATTTATCAAATCATGATAATTGCTGTTAAATTATTTTCTTATGCAGCCAAAAACTAAGAAAACTAAGAAGAAAGATGATTTGATAGTTCATAGACTTATCTTCATCCTCCACGTGACCCTAATCTCTAATTCTCAGTAGCCTCCAAGCATGCAATAATTTAATATTGGAGCCTTGCTTAATACTTAAAGAGCCTCCCTACTGGTGACCAGGTGTTGTACCAGGCATTCCACAGAGAACAGTCTGTTACACTACTTCAGGATATATTTTATCTGTGGAGAATTTAATAAACAACTATGTTCATGATCAACTCCATGTACCAATAAGTAATAAGTGGAAAATAAGAAACCCACATGTTAGGGACAATCCGTCTTCCAGGTGTGAATTTTGAGAAGAAATTAATAAAAATGGTCCCTGAGTTCCATGGCGTTAAACAAATCATGACCATGGAATAGTAGGCTTGTTTGTTAACAAGAACCACTATGTTATCCCAGGTACACAGTAATTACAAATAAACTGAAGCCTAAACTGCCATTTTAGGAAAGAAAATTCTCCTAGTCATTTGCTGCATGGCAAGGATCACATCTTTGTTCCTCAGGCTGTAGATCAAGGGGTTCAGCATTGGGCTCAGAAAAGTATAAAAGACTGCGATTGCTTTGGATTCCTCCACAGACTTCTCCGAGGGAGGCCTTACGTACATGCAGAAGAGCGTTCCATAAAACAGACTGACGACAGTCAGGTGGGAACCGCACGTGGAAAAGGCTCTGCGCCCGCCTTCCGCGGAACGCATCCGCAAGACGGTGGCGACAATGAAGAGGTAGGAGAGAAGGATGGCGAACAGAGAGCTAGACAGGGTGAAGCCGGCGACCACGAACATGGCCATCTTTTTGACACGGGTGTCGCCGCAGGCCAGCAGGAGAAGCGGAGGATCCGCGCAGTAGAAGTGGTTGATCTCAGCGGAGCCACAGAAGGGCAAGCTGAAGGTCAGCAGCGCCTGGGAGAGTCCGTTCAGGAAGCCAAACACGTAGGTGGCGGTGACCAGGGAGGCGCAGACGTTCGGGGACATCCTGGAGGAGTAACGGAGAGGGCTGCAGATGGCCACGTAGCGGTCCAGGCCCATCGCAGCCAGGATGTAAAACTCAGTGATCACCAGAGCGATGAAGAGCAGACACTGCGCGAAGCAGCCGCTGTAGGAGATGGTCTTGCGGTCCGAGAGGAAGTCGCGCAGCATGTGTGGGGTGACATTAGAGGAATAACAAAGGTCTACAAAGGAGAGGTGGCCCAGGAAGAAATACATGGGCGTCTGGAGGTGGGAGCTGGTCCTGATCAGCACTATCATGCCCAGATTCCCTGCCAGTGTGATTAGGTAGATGGCCAGAAATAACCCAAACAGAATCCTCTCCTGCACCGGGTCGTCTGTGAGTCCCAGGAGAATAAATTCTGTCACCATGGTGTGATTTGGGGCCAACATCTTCTTATCCATTGAAATCTGAAAGTGACAAAGACTATGTATAAAGATTTCCATCTAAACCATATTCTGTGATTGTTCCATCCGTGTGTTACTCACTTGTTCATTCATTCATCCCTGGGACAGGTACTCCTCTCCTTTTGACAAACACAGCAAAATTCATGCCTAGCATTTTCACCCTGTATCTCTATGTTATCCGTCCCTCTGTTTCTCTCTACATGTCAAACACAGACACACAAACATGTCCTATCTTTCTCTCTCTCATGCACACATACATATTATAAATACATTTAGAAAGAGCCACGTTCATTCATATGTATACATTTATATCTGTCTTCTTGGGGAACTCCACATTTGGTAATTTTTTCTAACTTTGTAAGGAAGCAAAAACCCAAATGAATGAAAATCAGTAACAGGTTATTCGCATCATTCAAATGGACAAATAAAGGACTTTCAGTCACCAGGGTCCCTTCATTTCTGAGATTCTATTGTTTCAGATAGAAATGGAAATTAAATTTATTACAACATGTTTACTTAAAATTCTTAGTTGTCTGGCCTAATTTTATTCATAGAAAGAACATTAAAGTAGTAAAATTTAACTCTTAGTATATGGGTAAGAAGGTATAGAATTACAAATTCTATTTTTCCTTTGTCACTTTATCCACCCATATATTCATGTACACAGCAGAGCTTGATATTTTTTCTGTTCCAATTTCTGGGCTTTAACAACAGTAATCATTTCCTATTTTCATGGAACATACATTATAGTAGAGGGAAACATGTTAAACACATAGAAAGAATGCATGACATAATTTAAGGTGTAAAGTAGGTTCTATTAAAGAAATGAAGGTGATATGCTTTTAGATGAATTTTTAGAGAGGACTTTTCTGAAAAAGTAGCATTTTAACAGCAGGTAAACAATTCTGTTTTATTAAGAAGAGTATGAATATTTTTGGTTGCCATTTTTGTGACACCAATTCATTCAAGAAAATGTTTGTTTAGGGAACCACAGGTGATGATTAAAAGTGGACTAAGCTTCCAGCTAAGAGCCTTCTCAGGCCATTGTGAAAATAAAATATGACTACAAAAATTACTTCTCAAAAATTGCACCCTAAAGCCATCATTTATTTACTCTCACATATCAGAGAAGCTTGCATACAATAATTGACTTTTAGAAAGTCAGTGATATATCAACATATAGGTAGCCTTATACACAAAAGGTGAATTTTTATTTTTGTTTTTTTTCAAGCTTCCATGTCCCCCGTTTTTTTTATCATTTTATTTATTTTATATTTTTATTTATTAAATCATAACAGTGTACATTGATGCCTTTATGGAGTTTAGTGTACATAATGCAATGGTACATTTCAAAACTATTAAGAAAAGAGTATAATTGTCTTACCACAGAGACAATTAATGTTAATCAATTCAATGTAAGCATTTCACATTGTATAAAAGATGCATTTTTAATAAACATAGAAAATGACTTACCTGCAAATGTTGACTCACTATATTTTTCTTCAGAACAAGGAGAGAAGATGTATAATATATTTCTTAGGTATGTTCCCTAGAGTATTTTAAAACTAATTCTAAAGCACCACTTATGATATTCTTTGTTCCTCAAGGGCATAACCTTAATTTGATGCTTTGAGGTCCTAGAGTCTCTTTTGAGGATGAAACCCCTGTGTAACAAGTGAATGCACTGTTTGGTATACACAAACATGAAAATTCACCACGAATATAGAAATTAGCTATTACAGTCAATAATATGGAAGGGGAAAAACCTGAGCAAGTAAATTTTGTATTTGTATTATAGTAAAGGTAAAGTAATTCACATTCATGGCTTCCATTTTCCTATACAAACTCTAGGGAAAAGGCATCTAACGCGAGTATGGGGCAGGAGGTTGTGGTGGGTAAGAGATTGGAGGAGAGAAAAAGTTGGAAAGCCTGCAGAGAGCAGAAGGGTGACATAATCTATAGAAGGAAGTATAGAAGGAAGTGTTGGCCAGGGCAGAGGTCCCTGGGAGGATGGACATTAGTGATTCACACTGGAACCTTTCTGCCCTATTGAATTAATGTCATCAATATGCTGAGAATTAAAGATCTGAGAACCAGGTCCATTTATAAAATTATTAGTTTAGGAGAGGGCTAAAAATAGAATAAAGAAATTTTAATATTGTTTGAGACATTTGTTAGAGGATGAAGAGAGCCAGGGATGCTTTCATTAGTCTTTATCTTTCAGGACACAGGTATTTTCAGGCCAATAGAATGAAATGAATCAAAGTGTACTCTGACTGGATATCCCTAATTTCCTTAACATCGCAAATGGTGGGTTATGGTGCAAAAAAAAAAAAAAAAAAAGAAAAGAAAAGAAAAGAAATCAGTCAATGAAAAATAGCTGTATATCAGAATCAAATCTTAGATTTGGTGTATTATAGGAATTTGAGAATATTTTTCCCCCTCACATTGAAGTTTAAAGTTTTCTCTATTTGAATTTTTGCCTTTATTATGATTCCTTCCACTAAGGAAATTTGAAAATATAACAGTATTGCTCACATATTTCTATGAAATGAAAAGCCTTTCAAGATTATAAAACTGATGTCTCACATGTCCTGACCCCTTAACGTGGAGGTCCCTTTTTTTGCATAAAAGTAGTTGAATATTCAGCTCTCCTTTAAGCAGAAAGGTAGCTTTCAGTTTAAAGAACATATCCTCCAAAGTGTGTATATTAACATAAAATGACATTGTCATAGAATATCAGACTTGAAAAGTGACTTTTCTGCCAATAAATAAAATTGGCTCAATAATGACTGAATGGATAAACTAAAAGTAATGAATTGGCTATTTAGATAAAAGAACAAATAACTTATAATTTTAATTATGGGATCACAAGATCAGATGCCCATTCATAATAAAGCAATGTTTATTTATAGCAACAGATAAGATTAGAGAATATAGACTTTATTTATGTGTATGATACCACCTCAAAAAAAAGAATTTTACACGTATTATTTTATTTTTCTAGAAAGCCCTTAGGAGGCTCTTTCTATATTACTTAAAGACATTAATTATTTACTTCATGTCACTTTCTTTCAACTACAATGACCAAGGATGCATGTCTTCTGGAAATATACCTACAGAATTTAGCTGTACAAATGTCTCAACGTTCTGATAGTTGAATACATCCTGCTAACCCTGTAAGAGTTTGACTTATGTATTTATTAGTATTTAATTGGCTCTTTTTATTTAAAAGTTATAATAGGGATAACATGGTATAGAAAGCCATAGTGATGTGGTCAAATTATCCAGATTGAAAAGAAAAAAAAATATAAGTTATTTACAGCTGAAATAACAGTTCATAAAAAAACTCTCTCCTTTTTTTAATAGGGAAGATTCTTTATTAGGACAGATGGCAAGTTCAGTCCCAAGCATACAAATGCTAAATTTTGGGGGCTCTCAGAACAACTGCAGGTAAGTTTGTCCCTAGGGGTGAGATCCTAATGTTTTCCTGAACATATTGCTTTTTAATAAATTCAAATATAAATGAAAGGTTTAATGCTTTGCAAAATTTTTCATGCTTTCATTACTTGTGCCATTTAATTCCCATGAGATCATAAAGTATTGCACAATAAAGCTAGAACTCTTCACCTGGGCCATCCTTATATAAAATCTTTTAAAATATGTGAAAAAGAAGTTAAGCATATACTTTGAAAGTTTATGTTGATTATAAGGTTGATATGCAAAAACATTTATATTATAGTTATACAATTAATTGTATAAAAACAAAACACAAATGGAATATTAAATTGTAAAATTTCAATGTGATAACATCAAAAGCATAAATTAGTTAGAAATAAATACAATAAAGATGTGCAAAGATACACACTAAAAATTACAAGACTCTGCAAAGAGAAATTAAAGAAGAATGAAATAATGAAGAAATAAATCTTACTTGGTAGATCAGAATATTCAATATTGTCAATAGGTCAATTTTTCCTAAACAGACTAATAGTTTTAATGTCAGTCCCATCAATATTTCAGTAGTTTTATTTTTCAAAATTTGTTGAGCTGATTGTAAAGTACATCATGATATTTTAAAAACTTAGATTAGCGAAAGAGAGAGAGAATACAAAACTTTAGGTAATTTATATTACCTAAACTTACACAGTCAGTAGGTTGTATACAATTATTGGACCATTATAATAATTACATAGCTCATTCATTAGAGGTATTTCTAACAGTACACCAATAGGTCATTTTAATTGAAGCAAAATGACATTAACTTTATATTTAATGTCTTCAAGCATAATTTGAACAGGTTTCAGAAGGATTTCTTAGAAAAATATAATAAGTTTGAGTAAAATTCTTCCTTGTGTTAATATCATACACCTAATGGTTACTAAGAACTTAATTATACTTAAAATGCAGGTCAAAAGATAAATAGATTAATGATACAGAACAGAGACTCCAGAAATAGATCCATATAACAGCCAATGGATTTTTAAACAAAGGTCAAAGGTATTTTAATAAGATTCTTGCTGGAAAAATTGGATATTTGGATGGAAATATTTAACTTTAAATTCTATAACACACCATATGTCAATCTTGCAGAATTAACTTCATGGGAATAATATATCTAAATGTAAATGCTAAATCTATAAGTGCTCTAGGAAAATAAATACAAATAGAAGAATATTTTAATAATCTTGAAAAAAACAAAGATTTTTTTAGGAAGGTCAGAACAGCATTAATAGTGACACATGCTTCATGGTCTTCTTTAAATATATATGTTTGTACATGTTTATATATGTGTGTATATATGTATATACACATGTGTGTGTGTATATGAGTGTCATCAAATTTTAAAACATGTATTCTCTATAGGCAAAATGCCTATATGCCTCTGATCAAAAAGCCATTTGAGAGAGAGCAGTGAAAAGAATTTGTGTAGGCATACTTGTAAGAAACTGAGGCAGAATCCCATGTGGCCAGGTTGGTTGTGA